AACTTGTTAGTTCTTTACCTTTAGCCATTTTTGAGACCTTCTTGTACTACGGGCAGTTGCAGAATGATCTGGTAGTTGCAAAATACGTTAACTATGGTTACTGATTACATTACTGGAACGTGCTACATGTTTCTAGTACATTCTGGAATGTTCTGGTGTGAAATATTAGTCAAAAGTTGTTTTGTACGAATACTTTTTTGACCCGAAGAAGTTAACATGTTGCATTAATTTTTGTGCATTGAGATTTAATTTCTATTGATGCTATTTTTGAATACAATGCACCTCTATACATAATATAAATCACTTATCCTGTTCAGTTTGTGTACTTGCATACATTAAAATACGATTTTTCAAGTGTACGAATATTTATTTCCCCCCACTGTATGTCTCTTGTCCCGTGTGATCAGATGTTTCTCTCAATGTGCTCTGCTTTCTAAAACATAACATGCCATGAGTCCTATCACCATATAGGCGTTAGTCATATGGTGATATGACCAACACCTAACATATGGGTGTTATATATAGGCACCATATCTGATGATATATGGTGCCGATGTCACCATATAGGCACCTATATAAACTCTGGGTTTATATTCTACAAAAATATGAACCTAATAATCCTGAATCAAACAATTTTCTCTGAATCAATAATCTAAATAATTATGCATGAAAACTTCTTAAAGCAAACTATTTCATTATATAATATAACTTGAACAGTTTTCAATCAATAATAATGGGATCTATCCCATATAATACTATTACATAGTGAAAATCTTGTAGCTCCAAAAATTGCCAAAAAGCTCTTGTTGCAGCTCAGAAAGTATATATAGTATATTCCCAATCTGCCAGGGAGCAGAAAATGGGTGAATATCTTAAGATCATTGGCAACACATTAGCATTAACTTTATGTCTTAAGAAGAACTTCCCAAGTTGCCAACACATGTTGTTAACCCTTTTGTGGGCAAGCATATATATATAGCAGAAATTTAAATTTCTGGAGCCAGTACCAGAAATTGAGAGTTGTAAGAGAAATTTACGCATCTGGATTTTAAAAATTTTTGCATGATGCTGGAGTACCTTGCAGATGAAAATTCTATGAAAAGTGGTCACTATGCTAAAAGAAACTGTATTTTTTTTAAATCTATTAAATCAAATGCAAATGGAAACAATCCAGATAACCGAACATAGCCCTTATCAATTATAATCAACAACATATAAAACCACTACATAGGTACTCAAAACCATACATACAATACATTAAATACTATGAACAAACACACAACAATCAAATTTAAACACAACAAAACACATACACTATCAAAATACGTGCCCCCGCACATTTCTCTCACCACCCGTCACTCATATCTATACCTACTTCCATGAAAAAACACTAGAAATAAAAAAAATAAAACATCTAACACACACCCGCCGTGTATTCTCTAAACTCATTTATAATACTCTCCTCGTTTAACACCAAACTCTCACAACACATTACATAACTTATTATAACATAACATTTACTAACATTCCATACCATAACAAAAACCAACGTAATGCGATATAACCTTACATAACATAACCTAACCTTACCTCACTTGACTCAACCTAAATTTACCTGATCTAACATGAACTAACTTTATCTAATGTCCCCTAACCAAACTTTAACTAACGTAACCTAACCTAAGGTAACCTACCCTAAAATATCCTATCCTATCTTAACATACTCTTACATAAGCTAACCTACTCTAACCTAACCTAACATTTTACAACATTACCAAACCTAACCTAACTTTACCTGAACTGATTTAACCTAAATGAACTTTACCTAACCTAACCTGATCTAACCTAACCTAAATTTACCTAACTTAACCTAACCTACCATTACCTAACCTGATCTAACCTAACCCAACTTTACCTAACTTAACCTAACCTACCCTTACCTAACCTGACCTAACATTACCTAACTTTACCTAACCTAATCTAACCTTAACTAACGTATCCAAACTTGATCTAACATAATTTGACCCAGTCTAACCTAACTCAATCTAACGTAAATAAACTTGAAATAATCTAACATATAATAGTCTATACAAATCTGGCCTAGTTCATCCCAACTTGACCTTTCCTAACATAAATTAGCGAAACTTAACCTAATTTAACGTAACATAACCAATCCTAACCTTTCCTAACCAACCCTTACCTACCCTGACCTCCATTAACCCGACAACACCTAGCCTAATCTAACCTATGATAGTGTTAAAACGTCTCACTATCACTACCAGGGACGAAATTCTGGTTAAGAATATCTAGTGTCTGTTTAAATTTGCATTCTAGTTAGAAAAGTTCATCACAATAATAGATCACGAAAATATATCCATATGCTGGATGATGTCACCATTGTACCTCGCCCAAGCACGATTCTCACAGGTGATTTAAGAGAGAGCGATAACTGGCATATATAGCCCTGGTGTATTTAAACCTTACTCAGACTAATCTGTTGCAAAGTAAATATCTTGCACCCTATTGCGCGGTAAATGTAGCTCAGACACACAATTTCATTACCACAAACAGGTAAGCTCCTGATACCTTTACCCAATAAAAGTTTTTGCCAAAATTCATCCCAAAATGCACGACCTAATCACTATTAGATATGGATTAAATATTTATTTATTTGCAGTCACATCAATATCTATTTCCTCAACTCCGCCCGCCCCCTCACGGGAGCGATAGATATTATAAGGGGGCACTGTGACATGGTCAAGGGGCCAGGCAACTGCCCTCTGGCCAGTTGCCTGGCCTAAAGAGTTTCAAAGAGGGCATATGAATAAGGCCGACATGCGTGCAAAGCTTGGAACCTGCGTCTTCCGTCATGACCAAAAAAATGACTGTGAATGTGTACCCCATTTCACCCATCTCCGAGTAGGGAGTCAATTACATAGGAGCTTGGAGTTTGGTTTTACATGAAACTTCGATTTTGAACGGGTGCTTCAGGTTTTTCAATTTATGAAGAAAGTCCACGTATTGACCAAATTTTTACAACAGCATCTCATTAAACATACTTGGAGAAGCCCTTTTGACTCTATAAATATTCATGTGTGATTCTTGGAACATGTATTTTTTGCGGTTATGTCAATCATGGACTCTAACTTTCAGCGAAACTTGACTTGGCATGAATTTTCGGTTTTTGCTTTTTCCTGAAAAATAAGTCCAAATGATGGCTAAATATTCTCCTAAGACATCTCATAGAACACATCTGGAGGAACTTATTTGACTAAGTAAAGATTTTCTTAAATTGTCTGTAAATGTATTTATTTGCAGTTATGTCATTTTACGTTTTTCTCTATTTATGGCAAAAGTCCAATTGACAACCAACTTTTTATAATGGCATCTCAGAGAGCTACATATTCAAGTCATATTTGATTCCATAAAGATTCTTGTATGATGCCTGGAAAACGTGTTCTTCAGGCAAATGTGTCAATCATGGACTATAACTTTTGACAACACTTAGTCTCTGAATGATTTTTCGTTTATTTCGATTTTTGCGAAAAAAAGTTCAAAGTAAGACTCCATTTTAGCAACGGCATCTCATAAAACTTGTCTTGAGAAAAAAGTTTCACAAAATAAAGATTTCGGTCAGGTTCCTGGAAAATACATATTTTTTCAGTTACGTCATTTTGAGTTATTTCGATTTTTTAGAAAATAATTCCATATGACGATTGATATATTGATTGATTGATTGATTGATATGATTGATCTCATAGAACCCGTATGGGGGAACATTTTTGACTAAGTAAAGATTGATGCAAGATGCCTGGAAAATGACTTATAAGCAGTTATGTCATTTCATGTTTTTTCGATTTTTGAGAAAAGTCCGAACAAATACTAATTTTTTCTGACAGCATCTTGGAGAGCAAGCCTGAAGAGTCATGTTTGATTAAGGAAATATTTTTGTAGCATGCCAGGAAGATGTATTTTTTGGCGGTTATGTGAATTGGGGACTCTAATTTTCGACGGGACTTGGAATCTGAATGATTTTTGTTTGTTCTCAATTTTCTCAAAAATAGTCCAAATGAAGACCACGTTTTCTCAACGGCATATAATAGAACTCGTCCTTGCAAGCGTTTTTCACTAAATAAAGATTTCAATCAGACGCCTAGAAGATGCATTTTTAATAGTTTTGTCATTTTCAGTTTTTTTTATTTTCTGGAAAAAAATTACAAATTATTATTTTTTACATTGCCATTCGATTTAAAACGGCTGGGGGATCATTTTCGACTAAATAAAGATCTCTCCAGGATGCGTAGGAAACGTACTATTTGCGCTTTAGTCGATTCTGGACTCTAACTCTGCGCTGGACTTGGTTTTTTTGAGCGATGAAGCGGTTTTTTCTGTTTTTGTTTTTCCAATGCAGTCTGATAGAACTTGAGGGGAACGTTTTAGACTTCAATGAAATTTTCACAAAAATGCTTGGAAAATGGATTTTTTCCCGTTTTTGCGTCGTTTTCAGTTTTTTGCATTTTGCGGCCAAACGGTAAGCCACGTGTCTCCAGTTTTTTTGCAGCATACCATAGAACTTGTTTGGGGGAACATTTTTGATACAAATGAAGTTTCCTGAAAAGTGCCTGCAAGATGTTTTTTTTTTTCAAGTTTTATAGTTTTTTCAATTAGGTTCTTACTCTTCATTCCTGGCACTTTAGTGTATTTCTTACTTTAGGTTATGCTTCCTAATATGGTTTGCTCTTTCCATTTCACTAGTTCACAATAATTCACTAGTTAGAGCATGCAACTTTATGCAATGTCTGAAAAGTTCAAGTGCTTCTGACTTATCATCATGTTTGAAGTGTAGCATGCACTATTAAGAGTCTCGGTTAAGTTTAGTAAGCACACCACTTATCACGCTTAGTAATCCTTGTCTGCACCTAATTGCTTGCCTCACCTGCACTCATTGCCTGAAGCTCATTTAACCCTGGAAGTCAGTGTTGACCCATTCCTGCTTGCTGAGCAATGTAGCTGCTCCCTAAGGGTGAGTCACTAAGACTTGATCAACTCAAGAATAATAATATACCTTTCCTTTTCAATCTCATGCACTTAATTTACTGTAACAAAACTTGCTTATTTCTTTGTTACCTGTTTAATGTCACCTTGTTCCTGTTTTGAATTGCTTTATTCACTTTCCTGATTGCTTTAGTTTGTTTAGTTTAGTTTAGTTTGTTTCCTGATTTAGTTTAGTGTTTACCTTGCCATACTGTGCTTGCTTTTCTTGTCTTGCCATGTTGCTTGGACATTTGTTCTGTGTTCTTGCTGATTTATGCATTATTGCTTGTTTAAATCCTAACCAAAATACTCCTGATTTGAGGTACACATCCCCTTTAACTGCCCTTAAAGACCATTGACTCTAGTCCCATTATTTTGTTAACTTGATAGGAGCAGTTGGTGTGGGACCCAGCTGGTACGCTGTTGGGGAGACCTGGAACCCAGTCTT